TTGGGACCTCATCAAGATTAAAAGCTTCTGCACAGCCAAGGAAACAACCCAGAAAATTAATAGGCAACCAACGGAATGGGAAAAGATAGTTGCAAATGACATATCAGATAAAGGGTTAATATCCAGAATCTATAAGGAACTCACCAAACTACACGCCCGAAAAACAAACAACCCAGTGAAGAAATGGGCAGAAGATATGAACAGACACTTCTCCAAAGAGGACATCCAGATGGCCAACAGACACATGAAACGATGCTCAGCATCCCTCCTCATCAGGGAAATACAAATCAAAACCACACTGAGATACCACCTCACGCCAGTCAGAGTGGCTAAAATGAGCAAAACAGAGAACTCTAGATGCTGGCAAGGATGTGGAGAAACGGGCACCCTCCTCCACTGTTGGTGGGAATGTAAACTGGTGCAGCCCCTCTGGAAAACAGTGTGGAGGTTCCTCAGGATAATAACAATAGAACTCCTCTATGACCCAGCAATAGCACTGCTAGGAATTTACCCCAGGGATACAGAAATGCTGATGCATAGGTCACATGCACCCCAATGTTCATAGCAGCACTCTCAACAATAGCCAAAACATGGAAAGAGTCTAAGTGTCCATCAACGGACAAATGGATCAAGAAGATGTGGTTTATCTATATGATGGAATACTACATGGCAATGAGAAACAATGACATCTGGCCATGTGTAGCAACATGGATGGGCCTTGAGGGTGTTTTGCTTAGCGAAATAAGTCAGGCAGAGAAGGACAAATCTATGTTTGCATGTATAGGAGGATTGGGAGGAACTTAACGGAGGACCATGGGGGAGAAGATGGGGAGAAATGGTGGGGGAAAGGGAGAGAGGCAAACCATGAGAGACTCTTGAATGCTGAGAACAAACTGAGGACTCATGGGTGTGTGGGCGGGTGGGGGGTTGTGTGTGATGGGCACGGAGGAGGGCACTTGTGGGGATGAGCACTGGGTGTTATATGGAAACCAACTTGACAATAAACCATTTGTTAAAAAAAAAAAAAGAAAAGAAAGAAATTTGGAGCCAAAAAGGCCCCTTGAGATTTCATTTTCTGGATCAGAACAATAAGTTTCTAAAGCCAGGCGGGTGGAGTGATGGGGTGAGGAGGGTGGAGGCATAGAGAAACCGGCAACTCTGAAACAGAGCTTTGACCTGTCTGTGATAAAACAGTAAATGTTGATGTCCACACTGAGATTCCTTCCTTGAATAGGATTTTTTTTCAGAGCTATTTTTCCTTATCATGGTCTCTTCCAGCTCCTAAGCAGCTGGTTTGGAATTTGCCTAATTCAAATTTGTAACATATGGTAATTACACTGAATCTATGGCGTACTCAGTAAGTGATGCATGCTGTCGGAGTCAGAAATAATTCTAGTTTACAGAACCTATAATCATCCAATTGGAAACGGTGTGCATATTGGCAATATGTAAAAAAAAACCAAAACAACAACAACTATATAATGTGCACAGAAGTGAAAAATGGAAGGAACCTAAATTTATGATATGTCATTGCAGGATCACGTACATGAATCTGCAGAAAGGGGCTTCCATTTTTTATGCCTTTAGGTTAAAGATACTGCTTTGAAATTTGCCCATTTTTCATCTTTAGCCATTTTCTTTATCTATATTGTTTCCTCTCCCCAAAGTTCACTCTCACCTCTGTTCTCTCTTCCATGGAATATCCCAAGTGTGGAGGGGACAGGAATTGATAAGAGAAGGGAAAAAGTGAGGACCATTTGGTTTTTCCCCCTGTAAATGCATAGACTTTCTGCTGAAATGACTTTGCTAACTTGGTACCATTTGCCAAAGGGGATAAGGAGGTCAATCATGGTGGATTAAAATTTTTTTTAATTAGGTTTATTTATTTATTTTGAGGGAAGGAGGGAGGGAATGAACACATGCGCACACACAGGGAAGGGGCAGAGAGAAGGAGAGACAGAATCCCAAGCAGACTCCGTACCATCAGCGCAGAGCCTGATGCAGGGCCTCAACTCCTGAACTGTGGGGTCACGACCTGAGCCAAGATCAAGAGTCTACTGCACTCCCATGCGCCCCCACTGTGGTGGATTTTTTTCTTCTTTCCTAAATCACCTAGGGGTGTCTGGGCCAGATCAAAGACCCAGGGAAGATCTTAGGGCTTAGAAAAAGAGATTAACCTTATGAAATTAAACCTCTCAGAGGCAGGAATTGTTAAACTCTCGCCGACTTCGTAGGAACTGTGCAGTTTGTTCTTGCCTTTCACTTTGAAAATGGTTTTTAAGGCACTTACGCTCAAAGTCAGCAACTGGGGCTGGAGGAATCCCTAATAGCACTGGATTAAAGAAAGAGAAGCTAGCTAAATAGTCTTTATTCCTGCATCAAAATATGTACGTATTAGAACTTTCAGTCAAGAGAATTGTGGCTCTGGTCGTACTTGGCTATTTCCTTCTCTCCCTCCCTTTATTTTTATTTTATTTTAAAATGTTCTTATCTGTGAGTCATTTGCCTCCCATCTAGTTTGTGGCTAAACTCCCTGAGTTGGAAGTGCTGGTGGTTAACACAGTGACAGGTCCACATGGTGTCCTGGACCATGTCTACTCTTGAGAGGCTATGTCTGGAAAACCCACCAGAAGGAACTACAGTAGTCGTCCTTCTCAGCTTCTAAACTGGAGTGTTTTTGGGGCGCCTGGGTGGCTTAGTCGGTTAAGCGTCCGACTTTCGCTTAGGTCATGATCTCGCGGTTCGTGGGTTCGAGCCCTGCGTTGGGCTCTGTGCTGACTGCCAGCTCAGAGCCTGGAGCCTGTTTCAATCTGTGACTCCCTCTCTCTCTGACCCTCCCCTGCTCACGCTGTCTCTCTCTCTCCTAGAAATAAATAAAACATTAAAAAAAAAATTTTAACTGGAGTGTTTTTATGAGCCACTGAGATTGCTCTGACACATGTGGAGTTTATGGTGACTCTTTTTTTTCTTTAATGTTTGTTTATTTTTGAGAGAGAGAGAGAGAGAGAAGGATGGGGAGAGAGAACAAACAGGGAAGGGGCAGAGAGAGAGACACACACACAGAATCCAAAGCAGGCTCCAGGCTCTGAGCTGTCAGCACAGAGCTCAACGCGGGGCTCGAACCCAGAAACCATGAGATCATTACCTGAGCCAAAGTTGGATGCTCAACCTACTGAGCCACCTAGGTGCACTGTATGGTGACTCTTCATTCTAAAATGAAGACCTCCATGCCTAGCCCCTGAGATTCCTGCTGCATGCCTGCCATTGAAGGCCAGTTTCAGTCACCCAGCCAAAACCCACAGGCCAGGCCACTGGAGAGGCCTCAGGGAAGCTAAGAGCTTGGGTTTCTAGAGTCAGGTAGTCAATGGATTTCCGTAGTGAGTGCCTGCCTTTCTTTAGTGTCCTACCAGTTATAAAGAGAAAATTTATTGACTATTTCTAGGTTTCTAATTATTTCCTCTGAAAAATCTGCAATGTCTCATGAGATCTAGCTGTAAAAGGAGAATAATTACATCAACTGAAAGTATCCAGAGGCAGAAGCCAGGAGACGCTCTTATGTGCTGGTTTTGAAGAAAAGCTTCAGCCTGACCGGTGATGAGCTCTTTTAGTTTTTGTCAACTCTTAAGGGGCCCAATGGGTGGTGTTCTTTTACTTGCCTCTCTAGGTGTCTTTTTAATATTATTTGCTTGTATGTGGCTGTGTTAGGTGCGTACCTTCTGTGATAGCTGGCCTGGGGCACTTGGGAGAAAATACGAGATAAGCTGTCTGCTTTTTCTGCCTTGATGCCTCCTGGTCTGCAGACCTGAGTTTACATCATGGAGATGATAGGAATACAAGAGAGAATGAGCTAGAGGATAAAGGAAAAAAAGGCCCCAAATAAATTTAAAAACAGGCATTAGGGAGTCCGTCAAATTTCTTTTCTTCACTTAAGATGAGGATTTTAAGGGATGTCTCATCATTAATACACATAGGATTGTCATACTATTGTTCTAACAGCTTGCACAGTTGGCTTCCAGAGTAGCAGTCGTGTCCAGAGCTGGTGGGCCTGATTTTTGCTTGGTGCTTGTGGAGGAAGGCAACTGGTTTTGGAAGGCATGTGACGGATGTACCTCACGTCCCATTTCTGTGATAGTAGCAGACTTTTTTACTTACTTGTCAGTTTCAAACCTAGTGAAGGCTTACTAACCAGGTACCACACATTCTCTGAAGATGAATGCTGTGCAGGAAATCCATGGTAACCAGTGTTGATCCTCAGGGCCTGAAGGTTCTGTGTGACCACGCCACTTCATCGCCAGGACTTACTGTGAAGTGCAAATAAAAATGAGTAAAAATCCTCACTGAACTGCATTCAAACCCACCATTTAAAGGCAAGGTGTATTTAAAATGAATTGTAAGAAACCCTATGATGTGTCCTGTCTTGGCTTTGATGATGGTATGCAGCGCCTGCAAGTTTTTAAGCGGTTTTAACATTCATGGAAAAAATTAAGCAAATCATTGACCCTATTGAATTTCCAGAAGCCCCTAAACGCTGGTTTCTCATTGGCTAGTTCAGTGTTTTCTATGGCTTAGTGTGCCAAGAAGGACTTGACTGTGGATTTGGAATCCAGCCTGGATTTCAGTGCTCATGTCGTCACGTTCCCAGCCTGCTGCATTCCCTGTGCAGTTTTGGCTCCTTTAACAAGCAGGCTGTGGGTCAGTTGTGGTGGAAAAAGTACACTTAGCAAGTTCCTTTTTTAGAACACTTCCTACAGGTCACCTCAAGTCTCCTAGGCAGTAAAACGCATGTATGCCTTTTGCCCCCTTTTCTTGGACGTTGAAATGCTGTGGTTTTTTTGGTTGCCATATTGAAAAGGTCCTACTTCGTGTGATGGAGTCTAGGCCTTCCTTCGTTACTTCCTTGCAGTGAAAGTTTCTGGTGGAACAGGAACTGTGTTCACTGGGCTTTTTCATGGCAGAGCATGTGATGAACGTCTGTAAGAATTGTTTTTATTTTTTAACAGATGGGTCAGAGAGTTTCTGAACGAAGAAAACAGAGGTCTTGACGTTCTAGTGGAATATCTCTCATTTGCGCAGTATGCGGTCACGTAAGTAAAACTTGGCTTTTTGGTTTTTGAATTTCATGTGGTCACGGAAGGTGCAAGAGAATGGTAAAATTATATACCACACTGAAGGGGAGAAACCTAGCAGCAGATGTGGTAAGGTTTAAGGAGATTTGCTTCTACTACGTAGCTGAAAGCAAATTACATAATTGTTATTAGAAATGCTTTCAAGGCAGAAGTAAAACAGGGGAATAAAAATCACCCTTGGAGGAGTCTTTATTTTAAAAAGAAGTAACTTTCATCAGTGCTCAAGTTATGTATGTCCATATGGTAGAATACCTTACCAGATACTGAAAGAGGTATATGATATACTGTTAAGTGAATAAAGCAAGACACAGAAGAGCAACTTTCTTTTTATTAGAAGCAGAACGTAACGCGCATGCGTGTGTGTGTGTGTGTGTTTGTAGTGCTAGTAAATGTAGAGAATGGGGATACTAAATCTAGTGAGATTGGAGGAAGGAATAGACAAGCTTTGCTTTTTTTTTTTTTTTTTTTTTTTTTTACTTTATCTGTATTTGTGTTTTGACTTTGCCTTCATAAGTTGAGGGTGGGGAAAATTGGGGCAGAGCAGGAAAAAATCTATTTAACCTTGTTTTTTGTTAATTCATAAAATTTTCCCATTTGTGAGGCTTCTAGAAGGACTTATAGCAGTAATGAAAAGTGTACATTTGGATGAGACATTCTCTTCTCCGTATTTCCTCCTTTAGTTAAAAAAAAAAAAAAAATTTGTAGTATCCACAGATAGACTCTCACTCACAGATCGAGGAAGTAATATTTGATATTGTATGTTTAATTTGCCTGGAAGACATTTTGGCTTGGATGGTAGTGTTTTGCCCCTCTCCATGCTGCATTGCAAATCAGTAACTTGCTTTTTATATTGCATGACTCCAAAGAAGTCCTAAGGCCTACCAGATGTGATCTTAGAGCCCTTAGCACTTCTTGAGAATTTGTGAGGAGAAAGCTGTAATTACTCCTACCTAGTGGATGCAGAAACTACAGTATTAAGTGAAATTAGCTTGACCAATTTCTGGTTTGATGACTCTAGTATGTCGTGTGGAATAGAGTAAGAAACACCAATAGACAAGTTCTTAGCTTTCTAAGAAGCTGTCCTTTGAAGTATAACCCTACTTTTTATGGCATATTCTTCCAAAGGTTGTTCCTTATCTGTGTCCATCATGTCAAAAACTGCTAATCTCTTTTTCACTTTTATTATATAGCAAGCACAATAATACTACCTGCTGTACTGTTCAATATCTGGAGGAATGGTTATGGGATTGAGGAAGAGCTAAAAAAATTTCAATTATAGTGGAAAAGGATGGTATGCTATGGATTAAATGTTTGCTGTAATTAACCCTTTACCTACATCACTGTAGAGCTTGTGAGCCATTTTTCCCAAAAGTACCCTCCCCTGAGACCAACAGCAAAAGGAGGTGTCACCTACCATGAGGGGATCCTAGTTGTGGCCTAAGATCAAACCCAGCAAAAGGACAGAACTCAGAGCTTTGGTTTTCTAACCTAATTTTTTGGCCTTGCCTTTGCATTCTCTGCTTATTAGTTTTGGTTTTGTTTTGCCTTATTTAAATACATTTTATATAGATACCTAGTTTCTGTTCTTTCTTGAAACTAATGGGCTAAAAAATTTCCTTACTGTTCCTTGACTTGTGACAGTTTCCTAGCCCATATAATGTGAACCAAGAGGCTCAGGCTCCATCCCTAAATAGGATGCTTTACCAAGGTGTGTGTTTCCTTCTTAAGGTGGGGGAAGGGTTGGGAGTAGGGGGAGGTAGGCTGAGAGGAGCATGAGGCTGTGGAGCTGCTGATCAATGACTTGGGGGCTGCAGAGTGACTTGGCAAGAGTGTCAGTGACCTGGATGATCTTGGGGTACCCTTTCTCCATTATCAGATGTAGGCTTCTATTTTTAGTACTTAAGCATTTGATAACTCATTCCCGCCTCTTTTCTGTTCAGCCCTGCTTCCTGCATCCAAAGGCATGACAAAATTGCCTCATCCATTCACTAATGGTAATCAGTGGCTGCCACCTAGACTTGTATTTAATAGGTGGAGAGCATCTCTGAGTTTACAGATGGCAGTTCTAACAGAATAACTTTATTTTGGCGATCATGCTTTTATAAAAAGTCAAACTTTTATTTTTTTATTTTTTATAGTTTATTTATTTTTGAGACAGAGACAGAGCATGAGTGGGGGAGCGGCAGAGAGAGAGGGAGACACAGAATCTGAAGCAGGCTCCAGGCTCTGAGCTGTCAGCACAGAGCCTGATGCGGGGCTCTAACCCACAAACCGTGAGATCTGACCTGAGCCGAAGTCGGATGCTTATTCGACTGAGCCACCCAGGTGCCCCAAGAAGTCAAACTTTTAAACAAAAAGTCCTATTTGTTATTTCCAATATGTGTTGTTACTGTCTCTTCTGCAAGAGCTTCTCAAATCTTCCATATGATATTAATTATAGCTGCCTTCTGTTTGTTCTCTGATCAGGTGTTGCTGGGTGGAACTATGGGTAGAAACACTTGATGAAGTATTTTGTTGAGAAAGCAGAGCCACTGACTTTGGGAGGAGAAAATGCACAGGACACAAAGGCCTGGCTGTTTAAAAATTTTGTTCCTGAAATTATGCAAAAACGAACAACTTAACTCTCCATTTATTCTAACATGGTTAACATGAGTAATAACCTCAAAAAATGTCGGAGAAACAACGGTCCTACTTTAAAGAGCACCACATTGGGAAGAGATTCCAAAATCAAAGCAAATCCATAACTTTGCGAGTAATGTATCACATATGGTTGGAAAAGTACACTTGCCAACACACTAGGAGAAAATGCTCAGTGAAAATTGATGGGTAGGAATAAATTAGTCTGAGCCTACATATTGACTTGTTAAAGCAAAATGAAGACAGCTGTAAGATCTTTTCTTCCCCTCCCCCCATAGCAGTGTTAGTAGTTGGTAAGTTAATAGGCCTTGTAGTTAATTACAGATAACACATTACTATTCATTTCTGCACTGTTGTTCAACTATTCTTTTGCTTTGCCCAGTATTTGTCATTTTGTGTTTGTCATTTTGTATTTCAGAAGCAAAGGAACACTGAGTGTGGAGACTGATTTTATGTATCTTTTTCAGTTTGCAAAGACTACCCATTGTAAGGTGCAGATGTGTATATTCTCGGGAGGAATAGGGTATGCACATCCCTGTACTTGTGTGACTGTGAACTGTTAAGGCTTCAGCGGCATTTCTCTTTTGTTTTAGTTTTGATTTTGAAAGTGTGGAAAGCACTGTGGAGAGCTCGGTGGACAAATCAAAGCCTTGGAGTAGGTCCATCGAGGATCTGCACAGAGGAAGCAACCTGCCCTCCCCAGTGGGCAACAGTGTATCCCGCTCAGGAAGACATTCTGCACTGCGGTGAGTTCCTTTAGTCAGGAGGGAGGCCAGGGGATAGGCTACCCAGGGACAGCAGAGTTCCTGCTTCTGGTGAGGATCCTGGGCTACAGATTGTTATAACTTCCCACACAGCACTTGGATTTCTAGTGATGCAAATGAAAGTTTCTTCAGGAGTTTATGGGACCATTCCTGGGGCAATAGTCTGTAACTTTAAATGGATTTCTGGAAACACCACACCTGCACTCAGCACAGAAAGAAAGTGCTGCTGCCAAATGATGGAACGCTTAAGACTCGATAGGCAGCTAGGTTCTCAAAACCTGGGAAACTCTGACTTTGTGATTTAGGCCGTGTGTAGAGGCAGCACCTCTTGAGCTTTGAGGTTCTCAAGAATTCCTTGTTGGTTTTTCATACTCTTCTCCCCTCCCTTCTTCTCAGGTGTGTGCTTATTCCTAGGTACTAAATGCTGTAGTGATCCTTTTCATTAATGAAATGCCTTTAAGCAGCGTTCCTTTGGTTAGGTGTGCTCAGTTGTCAACCTTCTGTTTCCTCCTAAGGATCTTTTCTCTAGTCTTTAATGGTTGAAATACCACCTTGCCAAGGAAGGAAGGGTGCTGACTGTCTCTGCCACTGTATGGGTGGAGTGTCACTGCGGTCGATTATTTGCTCATACCCACAATCATTCATTCACTGAAAAATACTGTTGAGCTTCTATAATTTGCCAGGCACTGCAGTTAGAGTTAAGGTACCTGGATGGATAAATCGGAACCCCTGCCTGTTAAGATAGAGATGCCATCTCAAGCAAGTTCATTATGGTTGCTGTGCTTCAGAAGTTGAATAAAAGTTTTTTTATTAATAAGTGCCTCTTTCCCAAAGGTTGTTTAGTCTTTGTAAGCTTGAAAAACTTATGTCCCTTATTTCAGACTTGACCTGGCAATTGAGTGTTATTCCTGTCAGTCCCCAGGGGTACTGGGTCATTGGTGGTGGGGTCCCGTGTGTCCGGTTGTACATCAGTGAAGATGAGGCTTTCAGACTTTTCATAACTGGTAGCCTTTTATTAATCTCTTGTCCCTTTGACTTAGGTTTTGGTCATGGAAACTTAATATCTCAATAATCAAGTTCAGTTTTGCTGAAGGATTTGACGTTTGAATATGATGCTTCCAGTCAACCATTCAGATTTTCCATGTTTGAAAACGCCAAAAATATTAATGGGTTTTGAATGGTTCAGTAATAAATAATGAGGAACAGTGTTTGAGTTTGTCTCGTGGTATTTGCAGTAGGCCAAGAGCTGTATAACTTGCTAGTCTATGTCAACTTTACATGTGGACAAGGCTGATTTGGAAGTTGAAGAAAGGCCAGCCATGCCTAAAGAATTCCCTAATGACCTTGGTACAGAAATGGAAATTCTTACCATTAATATAGATATATGTAAGGAATTTAATCGACAAAGGTACATTTCAGTTCACTTTTTTATCTTGTCTTACTTGGGATGTATCATATATTGGCTAGCAACCACCTTCACGAGGATTCATTTTTCTCATTAATAATTCATTATGCCTAATTTTGAAATATTGAAGACTGTTCATTGGGAACATGTTGTTTCTAGAAGAGTGGAAGAATCAGTGAAATATAGGACTGTTTCAGGTCCAAGGAGAAAGGTAGGCCTGGACCCTGGAAGATAGGGATGGTATAGGGCCCTCAGTGTCCAGCCTGACTTGTTGACACGTGGCTCAAGGTAGATCCTGCTATCATTCATTTTAAATTGGAAAAAAATGGACCAATGAGTGTAGATAGACATGGTGGAAATGCTGTTCTGGGAAAGTCAGCATGTACATGACATTGCTGGTTGGCAGGTGTGCTGGAAGATGACCAGCTAAGAAACCAATATCACATTCTTCTGCCTTGTGTTGGAACAGTTTCAAGCTGAGGAATGGAATATTTGAATTTCCTTCGACTCTTCCTTCATGTGTTCTAGCAACTCCAGAAAATCAAGGTGGCGGTAGCTTCCATGCCGCTTATTGACCTAAAGCTTAGACTTTTGTTTTCGAACAACATATATCAACAGTACTCCAGGTCTTGTGGTTCATGGATTTGTGCCTGGATTCTAATTCTGTATTTGGTCATTTGATAGCATCTGTGACTTAAACGAAACAAAACAAAACAAAAAAAACAGCCGTCAGAAGTACAGGCATATGGTACATGTTGCTTTTCATATACCCGAAGATTGTTTACATTTTTTTTTCTCTTCCTCCTCCTCTTTCTCTCCCCTTTCTTTCTCTGCTCCTCACACTTCCTTCACTTTTTGGCTTTCTTTTCATTGTCCTTCTTTTTCATTCTGCCATCTCCTTTCTGATCGTCTTCTCGTCCTCTGCTTTGTCCTTTCTCCTCCTCCCGCCGCCTCTCCCTCCGGTTCCATTCATCTCTTACACCACCACCAGATTGGTTTCTCTGCCTGAGCATCTTCAGTTCAGATACCACCAGAGCTGCTTCTCTCCCTGTTGCCTCTGGAGCAGCTTCAGTTTACACACTGATGATGAGGCTTCAAACCGGAAAATCTCGTAAGTCACGGGTGGACACGACACCCATGAGAACTCATAGTGCATGGTGGCAGGGTATCGTGACCACTTCCATTATAATATGATAACCTCGTGGCTGACTACCGTCACCCTGTGCTGGAAAATAGTCCACTGCCTTTTGAACTCTGATGCACTCTGTTATCTTATTATGATTCCTCAATGTAAGGATCTGACCCTTTAAGGTATATTGTGTTAATGTTACAGGTGTTTTGAGAAGGCAAAAAGGATATGAATTCATGTTCTGTAGCTTATTCTGGTAGCTTTGTGTGCCTTCTTCTGTATCCAAATGCAGATTTTAGTTCCCTCTTCTTAACCTCCAGATAAGAATGTAGATTCATGGGGCACCTGGGTGGCTTAGTCGGTTTAGGGTCCAACTTCAGCTCAGGTCACGATCTCACGGTTCATGGGTTCAAGCCCCACATTGGGCTCTGTGCTGATGGCTCAGAGCCTGGAGCCGGTTTCGAATTCTGTGTCTCCCTCTCTTGCTGTACCTCTCCCACTCATGCTGTAACTCGTTCTCTCTCTCCCTCTCTCCCAAAATTAAATAAACATTAAAAAAAATAAAAAGAATGTAGATTTATTAGTAATCTGATCCTCTATCACTTGGCAGAAAGGGTTCAACATGGAAGAAGAAAGAGGATTTCACGAAATTTAAAACATTTTATAAATGGGGCTTGATTAAAGAAAAGAAAACTACTGTTTTTAGACAAAATTTTAATGTTGATAGACATTCTCGTCTTTGTATTCAGATTTATTTTTTTAACTATTAAAAATGGATTATTAAAAACTTGAGGATATGACATTCACCTTGAGTTATATCAACTATTAGGTCTTATCGATTTCTCAGCTTGGCCAGTGGAAACGTTGCTATTGATGTGGCAAAAACCTGGATTATAAGCTTAGGGCCTAGTTTGCCTTCTGTTAAGATTCTGTTAATGTGGCCATAGATCTAGCTAAATTTAATGATGTTATATATGCACATGAGTACATGTTTGATTTTTGAAGACAAAGGTTGTATTAATTCTGATATAGAGAAAGTTAATTTTTAAGGATGTTTACTTAGTGCCATTAGACTTAAATAAGCAGTGACATAGATAGTAAATAGCTGTTTTGAGTTAAAAAAGGTTTTTTTTTTTTAATGTTTATTTTAGAGAGAGAGAAACAGCATGAGTAGGGGAAGGGCAGAGAGAGAGGGAGACACAGAATCCAAAGCAGGCTGAGAATCCAAATCTGAGCTGATAGCTCAGAGCCTGATGCGAGGCTCCAACTCAAGAACTATGAGACCCTGACCTGGGCCGAAGTCAGACACTTAACCAGCTGAGCCACCCAGACATCCCTCTGTTTTGAGTTTTTAAAGAAATGGGTAGAACACTAAGAGCATGGAAGAAGGAACTAGATTTTAACTGGGACTTTGGATGATGGCTGGAGTTGATCTTCAGAGTGAGGAAAGTGCTTCAGGTGGAAGAAAAGTGAAGAGACAGGAGATGAGCAAAGGTGTATATCTGAGATCAGGCATGTTTGGGAAAGAGGGAAGAACCTGTCCTTTTTGATGGAGATGGGAGGGCTATTTAATGGAGAGACTGAGTCATGGACAAAGCTAGAAAGGGTTAGTTAGCAACTATCTTGTAGGTAACCCTGACTGACCCTTCCCAGTGTGGTAAGGGAACCAAGATCCACATTTTCTCTAAGATGCTAACTTCTCTGATTATTTCTTCCTAAGAACACCCCAAAGCAAATTTCATGGTTTTTCCTGAGGTTATTATCAAAAGGAATGACCTTTCCTGAATAGTCCTCATCTGAGTATTTATAGTCTATTGTCCTTAGTGGATTTACATGAAGAGAGGAAGAGTTCAAATTTAGATCCTTGTTGATAAATGCTTTAGCACAGTAACCTCATTCCTGGCAATGCTTTCCATGGGAGTAATTTTTATTTATTTTTTAAAATTTTTTATGTTTTATTTATTTTTGAGAGAGAAGGAGAGACAGCATGAGCAGGGGAGGGTCAGAGAGAGAGGGAGAGACACAGAGTCTGAAACAGGCTCCAGGCTCTGAGCTGGCTGTCAGCACAGAGCCCAGTGCGGGGCTGGAACCCACAAACCCTGAGATCATGACCTGAGCCGAAGTCTGAAGCTTAACCAACTGATCCACCCAGGTGCCCCTCCATGGAAGTAATTTTTAAAAACATTTAACAATAGGCACAAAGATAAGAGGTGAGATTGATATAAATTTTTATTGGGGGAGAAAACATATTGAGTGTCTACCACGTACCAGGCATTGTTCTAAGACCCTTCAGTGATTTCCTGCTCACCATGGCTTTATGAGATAGTGACGACTCTTCTCCCTGGGAAGAAACTGAGGTCCCTAGTGGTTAAGCAACTTGCCTGAGATCAAACAGTGAGTATAAGGAGGGGGGATGTGAAGTGAGCTGGCCTGACTGCAACTTCCAAG